TGTCTGCTCCCCCTGGTGTTTGTCCAGATATTGATGCAATCAACGATTCTTTGAATCAATGTTTGTATGAATCTCTGGATAGCTCAATTGGTGTGAAATCTGGTCGTCCTGGCCACTGGAAAAAGTACTGGACACAGGAAATTGAGGATGCTGCTCGTGAAAGAGATACTATGTATAGTAGATGGAGGTGGGCAAGTCGTTTTGCCAAAGTCGAAACATGGAATCTCTATCAAGCTGCTCACAGGCGTTTTCGTTCTCTTGTACAAGCTGCTAAGCGTCGATCGTGGAATCAGTTTTGCTCTGATTTGGAAAAGGATTTTTCGAAAGCTACTGCTGCAATCAAGCGCATTAAAAGAAACAAGGAATGCTCTGCAACGTACAGTCATCCAGACGGTCCAACTGCCTCTGTCAACACAATGGCGTCCCATCTTGCCTCTGTCTATGATGGCTCCCTGTTGAATAATGCGTCTCGCCTTGCTGCTCCGTCCAATTTCTCTGATTTGCCTTATGATGTGTCCACCGCTGATTTGGGTCTATTTGATGCTGATACACTTGTCTCCCTCATTAAGCGTTTGCCAAATGGGAAAGCTCCTGGTCCTGATCATTTGAAAGCTGAAATGCTGAAGGCTCTAGCATCTGACATTGCACCCGTATTGTCTCTGCTCTTTACACTCTGCTCTCAGTGGTCGTATACACCAGCCCTATGGCGACATGCTCAAGTCTTTCCCATTTACAAGAAAGGTGATGTATCTGATCCTGCAAACTTTCGTCCAATTTCGCTTACTTCGGTGATGCGTAAATTGTTCGAATTCTCTCTGATGCCTGCTCTTGATGAACATTCGCCTGCACTTGATGTTGCTCAAGGTGGCTTTCGCCCACAGCGTAGTCCTCTGGATCAAGCCCTCTGTTTACATGACTTGATGCACGACTACTTCCTCACCCACCACCACTACCCTGTGGTTGCTTTCCTAGACATCAAATCAGCGTATGATACCGTGGATCGTCGAGTGATTTGGGATGCTCTCTCTCGTTCCTCTCTGCCTCGTTCAGTTCTCAGTTTGCTCATCCACATGTTCGATGATGTACTCGTGTCTGTGTTGATTGCAAATCACACCTCTGTTCCCTTTTCGCCTGCTACTGGCGTATTGCAGGGTTCAGTGCTCAGCCCTCACTTGTACTCTCTGTACATCAACTCTCTGCCTGCTGTTCTTCGTTCTGCTGTCAGTCGCGGTACTATGGTATCACCACCTGGGATGCCTAGTGTTTGCGTGAATAGCCTGCTCTTTGCTGATGATGTGGCCATATTTGGCTCTCGTACTGATGTGCAAACCATGTTGGATGTCGCTTCAGATCACTCGTTCTCTCTTGGCTACAGATGGAAACCATCAAAATGTGCTGTGCTTTGTGCTCCTACTGCCTCTACTCGTCATCCATTGTCTCTATACGGTGAACCTCTTCCTGTGGTAGAGGAATTCACGTATCTTGGTATGCCGTTTAGATATAAAGGTCTGTATGCCCCTGGGATTCTCAATCTGCGTGCTTCTGGTGCTATCAAGACAATGGCATTGTTAAATTCGGTTGGTGTCAATCGAAATGGTTTTTCTCTGTTGCTTTGTGCTCGTTTGTATAAAAGCTTTATTCGTCCCAAACTGGAATACGGCTTAGCTATATCTCATCTCTCTTTCCGTGACTTCAAGGCTCTTGATGCTCTGCAAAATCGATTGGTTGGTATGTTTGTTGGTAGTACATGGTACAATGTTGCCAAACATTTGACCTGTCTTCCCAGCATGAAGCATCGATATAACGTTCTGACAACACGTTATGCCCTTCGTGCTGATACTCTCCCTGATGATTGCTTGTTGGTTCTGCTTCGTCGTGGTTTACTGTACACTCGTCTAGACAGATTTATCTGTCAAAACCCGTTGTATCTAACACTGCCTGATCCGCCGCCATTCACCACTGCTGGTCTTACTGAAGTCTTTGATTCGTATTGGCAAGATCAAGTAGATCGTCAACTTGCTGCTGCTGCTGTTTCTGGTGCTCAGACTCTCCTTCGTGCTTGTCGTCCGTCTGTCTCTCGTCCAGATCCCATCCTGTATCTGCCTATTGGTCGATCTGCTCGTAGTCGTCTTGTGCGGTGGCGTCTTGGACGTTTCACCAATATGCGTGAAGAATGTCCGTGCACTACCGGTGAGTTTATCTCCCGAGATCACTTTCTGACATGTCGTGCTCTGGATCGTACCTTTTTTGATGCTTTGCCACCTGCTCCACCTGGTGTACATCGCATTGACCATGCTCTGAACTGTCTTCCAGACAAAGCTTCAGCTGGTCCACCGTACTTTTGGTCTGCTTTGCTCCTTTTGTTGCATGCCATTGATTGCCTTGTGCATCCTCTGGCTGTGATCCCACCAGATCCAGATCCTGGATTGCTCTGGTTTTCTGCTCATTGATGAACGTTTGTTGTTTTTGCTTTCTCGGTGCGATGCCACGGTGGTAAGTAATTATCAAAGTTCCCATCCGTTGGTCATTCCTCCAGATCAAATCAACAATACCAGTATTCATGCCGTCCCTTTGCCACTACCACACTTTCCTTTTTCCCTTTTCTTAGTTAGTGTCCCCATAAGGGTTTTTTGTACCTGCTACTCTTTTGTTTCTAGAATTCTAGGCTAATGCTCCCATCGAGTGCCCATTGAATTCATTATAATAAAAATCAACGTTAAACTGAGCTACATCCCCTCTGTATCTGCCTATTGGTCGATCTGCTCGTAGTCGTCTTGTGCGGTGGCGTCTTGGACGTTTCACCAATATGCGTGAAGAATGTCCGTGCACTACCGGTGAGTTTATCTCCCGAGATCACTTTCTGACATGTCGCGCTCTGGACCGTACCTTTTTTGATGCTTTGCCACCTGCTCCACCTGGTGTACATCGCATTGACCATGCTCTGAACTGTCTTCCAGACAAAGCTTCAGCTGGTCCACCGTACTTTTGGTCTGCTTTGCTCCTTTTGTTGCATGCCATTGATTGCCTTGTGCATCCTCTGGCTGTGATCCCACCAGATCCAGATCCTGGATCGCTCTGGTTTTCTGCTCATTGATGAACGTTTGTTGTTTTTGCTTTCTCGGTGCGATGCCACGGTGGTAAGTAATTATCAAAGTTCCCATCCGTTGGTCATTCCTCCAGATCAAATCAACAATACCAGTACTCATGCCGATCCTCTGCAACTACCACACTTTCCTTTTTCCCTTTTTCTTCGTTAGTGTCCTCATAAGGGTTTTTTGTACCTGCTACTCTTTTGTTTCTAGAATTCTAGGCTAATGCTCCCATCGAGTGCCCATTGAATTCATGTATATAATAAAAATCAACGTTAAACTGAGCTACATCCCCGGATGCTTGAATGGCTCACTTGGTTAGAGCTTCATGCGGAAGCAGTGAGTATGCCGAGAGGTCGTGGGTTCGAATCCCACCTTCGCATCCATATTTTCCGCCTTTCTAACCTGGCATGTTACTCGGTATTTGTGCTTGCACGTTTAGGTGTGCTGCGGTGCGTCTGGCCGGTTTCTACCTTGAGTCCTGTTCGTCTCCCCCGTCTTGCGGCGCGGCCATTGCCATTCCTCCCTCTGTTTCTCCTCCTCTCTGGTGGGTTTTGATGCCGTTTACTTTATTGGTCCCCTCCCTTTAGCAGCTTCCCTCAACCTTTAATTTAAACATGCTTTTTCCCGCCGAATCACTGTTAGTCTTGCAACATATGATCATACCGATTCCGCAGTTGACTACAATTGTAAATAAATAAAAAAAAAAATCCAATATTAAACTGAGCTACATCCCCTTTTTTTCATCACTTTTTGCCACCCTCTCCGTAAAAAGTCTCCTTAGAATCACGAAAAACGCTATTTTCCCAACAATCAGCAACTCAATCAACTCCAAAACTATACCAGTATACTTGCCTTTAGTCTCTGTCTATTGTGTTATAGTTTCAAGTTTATTGAACATCTCCTTCATATTTTTTTGGATCTTCAACAATTTCTAAAAAAATAATCAGCAATATGCCCGAGTTTCAGCACCCAACTGATATGAATCAGGTTACTGTTATCATGCAACAGTTACAACAACAACTTGCCTCTCTCTCTGAACGTGTTAATCAACATGATGGTATTTTGGCCCGTCTCGATGCTTTGGAAAAGGAAAACCAAGCCTTGAAAAAAATTTTACACGACAAGGATCTGGTCATTGAAAAATTGCAAGCCACGTCACAGGATTCTGTTACAAGCACCCCCATCAAAGGGGCATCTGGATCCACCACCTCTGCTACTGCCACCACTGATTCTGGTACTATTAGCTATTCTGCTATAGCTAAGAAGGCTGCACATCGCCCTGATCCAACTAAAGCTGCTAAGAGAAAGTTGGCTGCTGGTCGTCTCTTCAAAACGTCTGCTGCTAAGGGTCCCCAAGGATATCAATATGTATATATTGGTAGATCTGGTAAGATCTTACGCTCTGAAATTCGACGCACTCTCAAGGCCATTGGGGTGGATACGTCTCGTATCCTCGACATCAACTTCCCTGCCTCTGAAGCTATTGGTATTCTCTTGCATACCCAATATGTTGCTGAATTCTTGGCTCTGCTCCGTGCAAGTGAATCGGAAATATTGGAGGATTTTGACCCGTTGAATCCTGCTAATATTGCCGACCCAAAGTACGATGCCTACTCTGAACACGATCGAATGGATCTTATTGCTGAGATGGTCAATGCTCGCAGTGTAGATGCTCTGTCCCATATCCGCCCACTTAATGTGAGTAGTGTTGGCCGTTGGTTCCTGGATCTTGGATGGATAGGTCAAGCCGAACTGGACGAGGCTGTTGCTGGTGCTATGGACCGACTAAAGGAAAAAGACCCTAAAAAGGCTGCTTTCTTGTTCAAGCGTCGCCGTGATACTTCTACTGATTCTGAAATGGAGATCTAATGTCTCTTAACAATGAATCATGGTCTGGTAATTTGAATAATGTGTCTGTCCCCCCGGTTTTTGTCTCTCTCTCTTTGGAATGCGAATGGTCTTCGTCAAACAACAGTTCATGATGTTATTTCTCATATTGTTGATACTCATGTTCTGTTTGTCACTGAAACTTGGCTCACTTCTGGTTCCTATCCGATTGACTGGTCTCAATACCACTTGTATGGTTCAAAAGTACCTGGTGCTTTCAACCGTGGTTCTGGTGGTATCACTGCTTTTGTCTCTCCTTCTTGCCCCTTTACGGTCTTCCAACTCCCTTCATACAATCCGCACACTCTGTCTCTCAAGGTTGGCACCCTAACGGTTCATTGTGTTTACTTTCCTCCACCCTTATCCTCTGATAAGGTGCTCTCGGCCCTCAGCTCATTACCTATGACTAGGGATACTATTCTCTGCGGTGATTTCAATGCTCGGTTGGGTCCTCTGACTGGTGATGCTATCTCCAATGCTCGTGGTAATGCTCTCAAACCTTGGTTTGACGAACATTGCTTATCTGTGCTTAATGCGTCTTTGGCTTTTGGTGTCAAGACTTATTCTTCTTTTCGGCAGCAGCAAGAATTGAGTAGTATTATCGATTTGTTTCTTACAAATATTGGTGATGTTGCTTTGGTGAACCCTCAACTGGTGGCTGAGTCTGATCTGTCTCTTGGTTCTGATCATCGATTGATGTCACTTACTTTCGGGTATGTGCCACCTCTCGATGACACTGTGGCTCCTGGTGATTCTGTTCTGGCTCCTCGGCGGCAATGGAAGCTCTCGAAATTGACGAAAGAGAGGCCTTTGGGCCTACTCCGTGAATCCTTTCGATCTTCTGTTGCTCCTCTGGTTGTTACTCTCTCTGGTTTGGTGTCTGCTCCTCCTGGTACTCGTCCCGACATTGATGCACTCAACGGTTCTTTGAACCAATGTTTGTATGAATGTTTGGATAGCTCAATAGGTGTGAAGTCTGGCCGTCCTGGCCATTGGAAGAAATACTGGACGCAAGAGATCCAAGACGCTGCTACTGAACGGGATCGTCTCTACAGTCGATGGCGGTATGCCCTTGGGTATACTAAGATTGATTGTTGGGTCTTATACAAGCAAGCTCATCGCCGTTTTCGCTCTCTGGTACAGTCTGCTAAGCGCAAGTCCTGGCATAAGTTCTGTGGTGCTCTGGAAAGAGACTTCTCAAAAGCTACTGCTGCTATAAAACGCATCAAGCGCAATAAAGAGTCCTCACCTACGTACAGTCACCCAGATGGTCCTGCTGCTTCTGTTGCTACTATGGGCTCTCATTTGGCTACGGTCTACGAAGGTGCTCTGTTAAATACTGCTTCTCGTCCTGCTCCTGTCACCCCTATGGTCTCTGACTTGCCTTTCTGTCTCCCTGCGGACATGTCTCTGTTTGATACTGATACCTTGGTACTGTGTATTAAACGTCTGCCGACTCACAAAGCTCCTGGTCCTGACCATATCAAGGCTGAGATGTTAAAAGCTCTGACCTCAGAAATTGCCCCAGTGCTCTCTCTGCTGTTTCACCTCTGCTATCAATGGTCTTATACTCCTGGTGTATGGCGCCAAGCCCAGGTGTTTCCGATTTTCAAGAAGGGTGATGCTTCCGATCCTGGTAATTATCGACCAATTTCGCTCACTTCGGTGGTGCGTAAGTTGTTTGAGTTCTGTCTCATGCCGGCTCTGGATGAACACTCCCCTGCTCTGGATATTGCTCAAGGTGGCTTCCGTCCTCAACGTAGTCCTCTGGATCAAGCCCTCTGCTTGCATGACTTGATGCATGATTACTTTCTGACTCACCGTCGCTATCCTGTGGTGGCTTTCTTGGATATCAAGTCAGCTTATGATACTGTCGATCGTAGGGTTATATGGCAAGCCCTGCACTACCGCGAAAAACTTAGCGGAAATGCTCTAAAATAGGTGTTTTTGTTGGTGCTTTTTTACAGCCAAAGTATTTGGAAAAGTTGGTGCTTTCGGTACAGGCTTCAAAATTAAAACACTCTAAATTTGGCGTCAATGCGCTAAGTGGTACAAATTGAAAATATTCCATCAACATTGCAGCACAAAAGTAAACCTTATTGAAAATAGAAACTGTTGTATAGCCGATGATATTTACTGCATTACACAACAGTTGAATCCTATACCGTGCAACGTTGTTCAGTTAAAAGACCAATAGTTGCTCATGGGGATTATGACATTGGAATGATATGGTTGGTGGATCTTTATTAATAGAATGCGCTATATATTACTCTTGGGGCAATTGTTGGGGCAGCAATCGTGCGATTATTGGATAGAATGATATGGAAAGCAGGATTATTGATGGATAAAATTGTCTTTTATTGATGGAAATATAGCAGAATATAGAATCATTGCTTTCAAATACATGCAGCGTGCTATACACATGGTAATGGGACGTTGCTCCGTTGGGTAGGCAATTCTTTTGACTCGTTATACAGCAGTTAGCTAGCTACCCTGTCATTCAAGAGCCTCCTGATTGTATTAAAGATAAAGCGGCAGTAGCTATACATGTTTACCCATTACGAAGAGTTCCATACAAGAGTAACAGAGATGAGGATTGACATGGAGATAAGCAGCCAGATTAGAGTTGATTGGCACCCACCACACGAGTATCTAAATGCAAAACTAATGTTAGTCATAGAGTTCAATCCTGAAAAATATTTAACAGCATACCACATTTGCCACGTACCATCATCGTAAACTTGACACACAAGCAGAACAACAACAACAGGATAGGAGGCGGTCATGAGAAACTATAAGAGATGATAGGAAATGTGAGCAACGATGGTACGGCACGATGTAAGATGCACAGAGTGATTGACAACTTACAAATATACTTTAGTATATGCTGGTTAGCGAAGATCTTCCAGCAGCAGCACCAGGGGAGGATGTTCTATTCTATATTCAATGTTTAGTCACTGCCATACTTCTCAGATGATGCTCCTTACCTACCGTTATTCCCACAGAGATGATTAAAACGGTGTGATACTAATAGGCAACAGCCACATTCGAGGAGAACCTACTGCGTTATCATCTGGCGTATGCTGCCGATAATATGTTTTTAATAAGAAAGCCACCAACAGAAACATTTGGTCAGATAAATTACTTACTTTGTACCAGAAAATGAATCGAAATTACGGAAAGAAAAGAAAAGAAAAAGGATTTAAAATAATTCACGAAAAAAAATACTCTTTTTATAGACAAAATTTAAAGTTTTATTACAGCATGTCATAACCATCAGAGTAGTAATAGTCATCAGCATCATCATTCAAAGCCCACTCTCCCCAAACATACGTTATCCAACGATCCGAAAGCTTTTGAAAGTCATCAACGTGTTCCCCCTCCATTGTAAAGCACATTGCTACTATAAGAGAAGAATAGACACACTGCATCATTGTATAATTGACTTTGCTTTTTCCTTCCAGACTGGCATCATTCAAACGCTTCGTTAGCACTCTTTCATAATCACAAGCTCGTGCGTAGTACATGAAATGATAGCTTGGATTATTTTCAATATCAAGCGCAGGTCCAAAGCGATACTTGTAATATTCAACGAAGCGCTTTACAGTGCTACAAACAGATGTGCAATGATAATTAATACTTTATTCAAAGAATTTGCATGACATATTATTTTTATTCTAACCTCATCAAATCTGAAGAGGAACAGGAACTCCAGCTATAGTCTAGGTAAGATTCACTAGGGTCTCTTGGAACCATTGGGGTTGCATGTACGCTTCTTGATGCAGTTAAGCGACCAGCAGTAGAGTTGCGGAAATCTTCATTATCATCGTCATCTTCACCCTCATCTGGGCCATCATCACCACCAGGACAATTGCCAGTAGCTCCATTACCAGAAAGAGAAACAGAAGACGAGAAACCATCAAAAGAGCTACTGTCAGAAGTACTACCAATAGCTCTTGTTGCAGAACGGCGGCGAGTCTTGTGGACAGAAGCCAACAGAGCCGTGGCACCCCAGCTGTTGGTACAACGATGCAAGATGAACCCATACTTCTGCGCATGTGCTTCAAAATACAGAGCATGCTTCAGGATTAATGCCTCATCCACACGACTCCAAGCTGGAACGACCTTGTCATCTACGGCCAAATCGTTGACATAATAGTATTCATCAAGAAGACGTTGGTGATAAACTAGACACATCTTGCGAAGGGCTTTGTATTGAGCAACGACAATCGGATGATTGAAAGTGTAACCCCTTTCATTGACGTCCCCACTTGACTTCATACTAAAGTTAATGAGGCCAAGCAAACGAGTTCTGGCATCAGGGTAAATGGCATTTCCTTGGGAGTTAACCTTGCCAGAGTTGATCCAGTACTCCAAAATCTCAGGGACAACTGGATTTATATCGCGAGGGCCACGCAAATTAGGGTTTCCTACAGGAGCAGGAGCCAAGTTACGCGCTAAAATAAATAACAATGTCAATGTCTATTTCAATTCAATGCACATCAGTGTTTACCTGTAGCAATCACTCTTCCGACATCAGTTTTATTGCCAAAAACACCATCATTCGTGGGTTGAACGGGAGGAAAGGTAGGAGACAACTGCTTGATGAGTTCCAATAAAAGATCACGATTAAGCTTAGACTCTTCCTTGAGTTCACCAACAAAAGCCTTGAGCTCCAGCATCTCTGTCTTGATAGCATCGAGGGGAGAAACTTGAGTGCGAATGGTTCTGTAGTTATTGTCCATTTTAGTGCAAAAAAAATAAATTTAACTTATAAATAATAGTTGATACTTTCCTGAAAACCAAAACACATGTTGCCCTTTTATACGTTCCATCCTGCTCTTGGATTCTATCTTTGCCATTCCAAGTGTCTTAATGACTCACTAGTTGTCTTTATTACTTGGACTTGATAGAGTCTTCATGAGTCATTAAGTCAGTTCAAAGTGAGCACCCTCTGTAATAACGCGACTGTAAGTTCGTGTAATGTCAACTGTCAATCATCTTTAAACTCACAGTAGCAAAACATCCAAACATTGAGACACAACCGACACCTTTGTGCAACTTGAAGAGTCAAAAATCACTATTAGTCATAGGTGCTACTATGTACCACAGAGACGATCAAACTACTATTTAAGCTTCACTACACATCACTTTGGTCTTGTTGTCATTCATTTGTACATCACCTTATCCTCTCAAAATGCCTGCACGACGAGTTTCAGGAAACTGCGAAAAGTGCCACATGCCTTACAATTCTGCTAGAGCATTGAGGACCCACTATGCAAACTCGACTTTTTGCGAGCCCAAGAAAGCAAGAACAGAAGACACTCCCTTACCGAATAGTCAAGAACGATCCCAGGCAAGCATGCATTCACAAGACGATACTCCAACGGCTACCACAAGTAATCAAGGAAATCAGTCATTACAGCAGCATGTTGCAGAGCAAAGAATAGAACGTGAGTTGTGTGAACTATAAGCAATGCATGACGTACCGTTCTAACTCCCATCTAAGTGCCATCAATTGAGTCCTTTTCATACTACAGTAGCTTCACTCTTGAACAAAAGGAAGGCCTTCGACATGTATATGATCTTGACACCCTCTCTTACGCCACTGATTTTAATGAAAGTGAATTACTTTCATTGAAGCTCCGTGACATATTCGACAAGTATCCAGCATCGAGAGAAATGAGTCGTGAAAGTATATACTTTACAAATACAATCATTAAGAATATAGCAGAGGCAGGAGGTGGCACTGAAAGAGGTAAGCATATGAATACCACTATGCATTGTATCTTCAAACGCACTCACCATATTGACATCTCCCTTTAATGCACAAAGGCATTGTGTTTCCAAAGCTGATTCAGTTCGATACTCTAGAGGCGCGCATGAGAAAGAAGACTGGCGTACAAGCATTCATCTACAAGGTCTGTCCTCAAGGCTGCAAAGTTTATCCCAAGAACGATACATCAGTCCAAGGAGTGTGCAATCACTGTGGAACTCCCAAAAGCGAAGCACAAAATATGAATGTCTTGAGCATCGGTGATCAGCTAGCAAGAGTCTTGAGTGACAAGTCCAAACGAGATGAGCTCATGTCGTATCGACGTAACTACCAACATGATCCACATTTTTACCGAGACTACTTTGACGGTCAAGAGTACATTAACTTTCAACAAAGACGGGAAAGACATGGCACCAACGTAGATGAGGAACCTATTCTGCTTGCCTTGTATGTCGACGGCTTCAAACCCCAAAGCAACTCTTTTGCTGGCGATACGTTAACGCTATTCCACGTTGTAATTTTGTCAGCCCCTCCACACCTCAGGTGAGTTATCTCTATTTGTATGGGTATAATATCCAATTAGTACCGGATTCTAACCACCAACGATATTGCATTTATGTCTACCAACCCACAGATACTTGGATGACTGGACTGTTCAGACAATGATTGCACCCGGCAAGAAGGCTCCAGTGGATCTTGAAAGCTACTTGGCTATTTTTGTGGACGAAATTCGTGATCTTAGTGAACATGGCATGCTGGTTCGAGTGAATGGTGGTGAAGTTGCCCGAGTAAGCGTTCATTTGGCAATGGCGACAGGCGATCTTGTAGAAGTATCACATTTGATGTTGCATGGAGGAGTCTCCAGTCAGTTTGGCTGTATGAAGTGCCTCATAGACACACAAGGAGGTCAATGCTTTACTCGCACAATCAGAAATTTCCAATACAGAACTCTCGAACAACTGAAAGCACCACTGCCTGTTGGCGTAAAACATGTGTTTGTAAGTGAAGCGATTTCATTAAACAATCATGTATAGTTCTTGTACCAACCATCATCTCTTCTATAGAACATCAAAGGACCATCCATATTTACCACTCTCAAGTCTTTTCCTGCCAACCCATCGTTCTACGGTCTCGACACACTTCACCTACTGAGCATTGGATTAGCTAAGCATTTGTACGAGCTCTTGTCTTCTCCATTGCATCCATCCAAGTTTGATAACCGATACAAGCCCTCTATCGAAGAACTGAAAGAAGCAAAGCTTGATAAAGCAAGTGCCTGGCCTTACACCTTTGATTTAGATCCCAAAGTTCTGGCAAAGATCGGTCAGTATGTGGCTCAGTCAAAGAAGACCATTCCAACTACCTTCAATGCACCATTCAACGACATTTTTGCACCAGGAGGAGTTACCAACTACCGAGCAGTTGACTATGAAGAGTTCATGATTTTCATTGTTCCAGCCCTGATAGCACCACACTATCCTGACTCAATCAGAAAACCTCTTCTGGGTATCGTTAAAGTGGCAGCTTTGGTATTGCAGAAGAATGAATTGCATGCTTCAGACTTACAATTCATAGAAGCGTAAGTATTGGCATCTTGAATAACAAAACCCGTTTTATCCACAGACTAACAACTTGCTTCTTTCTATCTCTGCACAGTAAGGTTAACGATTGGCACAAACTGCTGATCACTGAAATCAAAGCCAAACGCCTTCCTATCAAGACCTTTCGACCAAACGCCCATTATTTAGGACACTTGACTTACATGATCAAAGCGCAAGGTTTACCGGCTTCGACTTCCAGTCGATCTATCGAAAGATCCATCGACAGGTACAAACGCTTGATAAGTGCTCGCACAAATGTTGGTATAAATGCCGGAAACATCATTGATCGTTTGGCAATTATGCGAGCCATCAAGGCATCTACAACTGGTGATGGTACAGGCGATGGTGAAGACAAACTGAATGATCTGGATGCTCGAATCAATCTCTTAGTGCCTCGACGATACGATCCAACTACCTTCGTAAATCTAAAGAATGACAATGGCAACGGAAGTCAGCTCTGGTATCCAGTCATCCACACAACGGTTTCAAGTATTCCAACCTCCATCAACGTCAACACGCCTCTTTTTGTCAAGGCTATACAGTCCTACTACGACCGGCAATACTCGACTAATGTTCTGCAGAATGTCCATATCAATGATCAACTGGATATTGTCGTCTCTGGAAGTGCCTGGGCTTACAACTGCACTTATCGTTCAGAATACTATCGCGATCTCACCGGTGCTAATTCTAGAGGAAGCCACTACATCATGGTATGGGCAGAACACTTGAGGTATGTCAATTCACAGGTTCATTATTGCCTTTATCGTTACTCATCAAAACCCACATTGACGTCTGAATTTCCTACAGTAACTCTCGTCGCAAGGTCAAAGCTTTCTTTGTAGGGGCTGTTATTTTCATGTTCAAGCTCGAAATTGAGGGGATTGGCGATGAGTTGTTCTTGCTTATTCGATTGGGAAAGACTCATGCTGTTGACGACAAAGACAAGACGATGCCCATAATGGAGCTGGATGATGACCAGGATTCATCCGCATATCTGGTGTGCACATTTGAGCAGGTCATTTGCCAAGTTGGTCTGATGCGTTTTAGCGAGAATGACAAGAGATATAAAGTGATAACGAAGGAAAAGGTTTTCCGGGCCTCGATAGAGACTTATAAACCTGGAAAAAACTCATTTGTGCTACCTCAATAATAAAGATAAATATAGAATTTATCATCGTATTATTACTCCCAACAAGTTAACAGACATTCAGCTTCATGATGTCGTTCTCCTCTTCTTCGTTTCTTCCCTTTTAGCTTCTGACATCAAAGACATCCCATTCATCTCACTACACAACGCTCAGTTCCTTTAGTATGTGCCGAAAAGCACCATTAATTGCGGAGTAGGTGCCCCAACCTTAACTTGAGTAAAACACTAGTGCGAATAGCACTGTTACCAGACAATGGCATCTTAAAATTGTATGAAATTCCTATTTTTCCTTCATTCAATTGCCAATGCTTTTATGTCTCACCCTTGCTATTAAAACCTAAGCGTGTATACAAAACAGATTCCGACAAATGTCTTCTTTTTTGCCGTCTCCCTCACCTTCCATTCTTTATTGAATTCTTCCTTCTGTTTTCCCCTCGTCCTACTATTACTTAAGGCTTTGAACACTGATTTTTTGCAAATATCAACGAAACACAAGAGCCACGATGGTTAAAGTTCCGCCCACAACAATCTTTTTGCTCTTGTAAACCGGAAAGGTTCTATTGAGCTGTTTCTCCCGTATCTCTAAGATGATTTTTACCACTTTTAGCATCAAATAGGTGTTTCCTACTGCTTTTAGCGCTGAATACGCTGCTAGCTCCTACTTTGAAGCGGTATTTTAAATACAAAAGACTTTCAAGATCCAACGCAAATATGATTCTGATAAATTTCAGTTTTCCCCTTTCCTTCATGGTTTATACGGTATTCTTCAATGGATGTTTACTTGATCTCTCTTAGATTTGATAGAATAGTGATAGATCTGCCATTCAATTGTACACATAGGAAGGTATTACGAAAAAACCGAGAAAACTTTAGATATTGATATTGTGCTTAATTTCCTGCCTAAACATGCAGAACAAAAAAGCTATATAAGAACTAGACACTTTGATAAATCCAAAAAAAAACTATCCTGAACACCGCATGTGCAACAATCAATTTTCAACTGCGAGATAAAGTGTTTAGAGGCCATTCTCTTTAGATTTGTTCCGGAAACGTATATAACAAACTAGATGTATAAGAAGAGGAAACATTGGGCAATCGTATTATTATTCTTGAGCACCCGATGACCCTTTGGGAATTCATAAATTGACATTTACTCGAAAAATATGCCTAATTTGCTTCTTTTTACATATGTTTATAGATAGATTTTGAAACCTTCGTTAG